TACTAGTATCTCCTGGCCTTACTACTAGGAGCAAGGACGCTACTTACAAATAGATGGTAACTTTCTCGTGCTTTGGGCCCTGTGGCTTCTTAGGAGGAGGTTGGAGGCCATCTCTAGATCGGCTGGGTGTTTATAACTAGTTAACAAAAAATAATTGCTAAATAGTTATAACTAATTTGGACAATTAGGCTTTTCAAAAACAAATCATGTACAAAAGCTTTGCATATGCCTATTTATATATAGCTTTTCTTGTATCGAAAAAGTACTGCAAAGGTAACCTAAGAGCCACAAGGCTAATGTGACAAGCAGTACAACCACAAGAGAGCCACAAAGGGCTAATGTGACAAGCGGTACAACAAATTCCAATGCCTTTTCATGCCTACGAATCCAGCGAGTGGTGGTCGATCACTGGTATTGAAAGGGAATATGTGTTGGACCGCTAGGAATAAAAAAACCAGCGAAAATGGAAGAACTTTAGAGGACACATCTCAACTGAAATAGACACAAGCCGCTCAAGCCCGTCACACATCACACACATTCCGATCACCTGACTCTGAGGCCACAGCCGAGCAACCTGAATCACAGCGACCAGATCGCAGTTGCTTGCTGTACATTTCCGCACCCGACTGCACCACTCTCCATCACCAAAAGGACTTCTTACAAGATTAAGATTCCTGATTTGTATAACCTGTTCCTGCCATCTCGGAGGCCATCTCTAGGTTGGAGGCCATTCCTATTAGGTTTAGTCGGTTGCATCAGTGAAGCACCACTCTCGAGATGACACAGGAACACAGTGCGGCCGCCTTGAAATGGTTGCCTGAGTAGCTCCTAGCCTTGCAAACGACCAAAGTCCACCGAAAGACTGAAGGAAAGCGCAGCAAACCGGAAAAACAAAGAGAAACACCAAGGAACACATCGATCAGGCTATGCAGGAACAGGCAACAGGCTTTTGTGCGTTCTTCCACTAGTAGGATCCTGAAGAACCTTCTATCCAGATTCTCTGGCTTCCAAACCACTCCAAGCTACGTTGTGGGCCACTTAGTACTTGGAATGCAAGAAAATAGCAAACAAGGCGAGGCAAGTTGAATAAAGGAAGGATCCGCGCAAGGCCTAAAGTTTAGGCCTAAAGGTCTAAAGAGAAAACACAACAACCAGAACGAAATGAACACAACAACGGAAAGAGCGCAATGATGATCCACATGTTCAGACATCTCAAGCGCCCACTGGGCGCTCGACTTGACCATGCAGCCTACCATGCAGCTGGAAATTTTGGGGCAAGGTGGGGTGCCATGAGTGCAACACAAAGGAATGAACACATCGCTCTTAAGTTGGAGGCCATTGCGTTGGGATTGGAGGCCATGGCTACTAGGGTGGAGGCCATCGCTAGTAGGTTGGAGGCCACTGCTATTGCATGAACATCGGAGGCAGCTCTGGATTTTGCCGAACCCCACAGATACAGCGTTTCCCTGTACACATGCTGAAAGGGTTGCTCCGGACGCTTTGGATCCAGAGCCCACAGCCCCGGAATCCACACTCTGATGGTCCCATTCCATCTCCGCATTCGCGAAGGAATCTGCTGGATTGACGTTTTATGCTTTTCACTTTGGCAAATTCGGCCAATCGCAGGATTTCAGAATTCCCTAAGGCCATCGCTATTGGGTTGGAGGCCTATAGTAGGTGGGAGGCCATCTCTGGTAGGTTGGAGGCCATCTCTGATAGGTTGGAGGCCATCTCTGGTAGGTTGAAGGCCATCGCTCTGATGTTGGAGGCCATTGCTATTGGGTTTGCTTCAGAATGATCGAACCTTTTCAGCGAGGGCATGCAGCTCCTGGCCCACATCCATGTGTCTTTCTGTCTTCGCTTTAGTTCCCATATCATCCCATCATCCCTGTCCTGTTTTTCCATATCAGCCCCTTTCCTTTGGACCTCTTGACCTTTCTTCCTTCTTCCTTCTTCTGGACCTCTAGCACGGTCGCTGCTCAAGTTCATCCCCGTCCTTCTCAAGTTCATCTGTGATCCGGACACTCGCCTCAGCTCGCGCTTTCACACCGGATGTATGCAGTCTCCGGTATTCTCAGACACGAGGTCTCTGAATGAACAAAAACCGCTCAGAAGACCTCAACCTTTTGTGGTCCCGAATGGAGAAGCGAGAAGGACACGACACAGGTCACGGGTCCGAAACGACCATTTGAGAGATCCTCGCTGCCTCAGGAAGTCCAGGGAAGACCAAGAAGAAGCGTGTGCAAACCAGTTCCTCATTGGTCGCCACCCAAATCCTGGCAGGGCGAAAGTACGCCGACAACGAACGACACCGACAAGCGTTTCTGAAAACCTTGATGAAATCCCATGTCGTATCATTGGGCTTACGCTTGTGCTTACGCTGCCTTACGCGACTCACATGTTTGCTTACGCGGTACACTTGGAGCAAGAAGGGCTTACGCAGACCTTACACGACGCCTGTTTGGCACAAAATGCAGCTGACACCACAACGCGAGCTTACGCGCTGCATATTTTGCACAATGGACATTTACTACACCTAATCTTCGGATATGGATGCTGAAGAAGCACTTGAGGATGAGGACGAAGAAGAAGGCTCGAAGGCAGAAGCAACCAAGCAGCAGCAGCAGCAGCACCAGCAGCAGCAGACTAGCAGCAAACAGACCTGCAGCAGCAGCAGCAGACTAGCAGCAGCAGACTAGCAGCAGCAGACCTGCAGCAGCAGACCTGCAGCAGCAGGAAGTGGAGAAGTGGAAGTGGAAGGGCGATGCGCGCAAACCACATTGCATATAGAGGTCTTCAACCACACGCTGCCGCTGACGCAACGGTTTCGAAGAAGGAGGCATGTGGGCTACTGGTGGAAAAGGACACCGGAGCTTACGCGGAGCTTACGCGCCGGAACTCACAAAAATCACCTGGAGTTTCTCATGTCTGAGATGGAGGTTTGACTGTTCAGCTGTGGTGTTTGGACTGTGTGTGTTCAGCAATTCGAGTTTGGATTGTGTATGTATGTGTGGAGTTGGACTGTTCCTTAGTCCTAGCACTTCTGAGAGGGGTTGCTCATGTATTTATCATGTATTTCTTCAAAGCTTACGCATTGCTTACGCAAAAGGTTTCCTTACAAAAAGCTTACGCAACCTTACGCGCGTGCAGGTTTTGCTTACGCACAACTTCGATATGACAACACACTGATTAAACATGAACACGGAGGTTTATCGAATGGCTCAAGTCCCTTTCCTCTTTTGAACGTCTGCTTGAACCCGACAACAGAACCCAATCCTCCCAAAAGCAACCACGGAACAGAATGGTCCCGAAACAGGAATGGCAAGAGTTCTGCCAAAAGTTAGCATGGCCTTGAAGGCTTTGAGAACCAAACGAGACTGACAAATGACAAGAACAACAGTGCGGGAGACTTCGTGTCGGGACCAAGCAAAAGGGGTGCTTCGATCCCTTTCCAATATTTTCCAATAGTCTCGTGTCATAATCTTCGATACTTCTTTCAACCATGCGGACATTTAGTACGCCAGGAACAAACACTTAGTTTTTGTTCAAGACCCTTCTTCTTTTCTAGTAGGTGGGAGGCCATCGCTAACAGGTAGCAGCTAAGCTACTCCCTTTTTGGGATGGTCTTGACGTTTTCACTTCCGATGCTCGATCCCCCCGCTCGATCCCTCGGTCCCTCTGGTGGGTTTCTTCAGATTCACTGGATCCATGATCACCTGGCACGACAGGACGAAGCATGGCTTCGACGGCACCCCTAGCAAAGGGCTACCAGGCGTCAAGTCTGGCGTTGGGAAGTCTGGCTTAGTCATGTCACGTGTGTAGTTTGGATCCATAATGCCTGGTGTGTTTCTGTCCAAGCAAACAGCATGGCGCCTCGCAAACAGCCATCATCACAAGGCCGCCACTGTTGTCAACGAAGCGGTTTCCTGAAATTGAACGGACTTTTACGTCGATGTCGCGTCAAACTCGAATATCACGGCGTTATGAGCACAACCACTGGCCATGACTGTGAAACTGCCAGGATGGATTCGAGTCCATCTGAAAAAACCGGAGTCCATCTGCCCCAAAAGCAGAAACAAACGTCCAAACGGTTGGGCGATTTTGTTTCACTCGAATGAAGACCTCCGTGTCGATCCATTCTGAACTCCGGCTCCGAGTGTCCAGTACGCTGGCGCTTCAAAGCTGCCGGCTCGGGATTTCGGGGTCTCGCGCGCGTGTAAGCGATGGATGTGTTGCTATCCTCGGATCCAAGGCGTGTCCTCTTTAGCTTCACAACTTTTGCACACATCTTGCTTCCTTGTTTGCACGTTTTACAGCTTTTGTTTGACAGCTTCTGCGCGGCTTTTGTTTACCAAGACCAGACTTTGTAGAACAATGCAACAGATTCCTCCCATTGCTCTGACCTCTCTTACACATTGACAAGCATGAGATGCCACCGGGTTGCAATCAAACATAAGTTACTTATGATTAACATCCGCAAATGACTGCATGCGCCGTTGGACTACAATTCCGCTCAATGTCTGTGGCCAGGTAAATTCCTGGACCATGAGCAGCTCCTGAGGTCATCAACTTAGTATTGGATGCATTCCTGAGCTGTGACTGACCGGTATTGCAAATTCATGCAAATTCGGTTATGTGAAGGTGCCACTGCACATGCGAAAGAAGAACAAGGAGCACCTTCACCTTCACAGCATATGGCTGTATGGGGCCTCCACACCTACATCCGACTGATGGCCTCTACCCCTCGTGATGGCCGCAGAAAGCGCGGCTGAAGCGTTCCCTCCGAGTGGCTTCAACCCATTTCGAAGGATCGAGTGCCAGTTCTCCGCTGAACTGCCTGAGGTGCGGACCGAGCTGACGGAAAAAAAAGAACGCACCATGCAGTGGTCAGTACATGAAATATTATATTCACTTCTCCAAAAAAGGTGATACGAATATGCACTGGTTGAGTGTTGTTCAAGACCTGCGGGCTCTTCTTCGCAAGTTCCTTTGGCACTAATCGACTAGCTAGTGAGCAAAACAACATGATCTAGACTGTTTGATACATCGTGAGTCAAGGCGATAGATGTTGCAATAGATTCAAACAAATAGCGGGATTTGCACATCGACGGAACACACATTGATTTCTTGGGGAGACATGACGTGGCTCGTGATCCAGCGAGTGCCGCATTCATCACCCAGAGCTGATGCCGCGTTTGTGCGATCAGCTGGGTAGCCGAGGCAGCCGTCGCGTTAGTTCGGTGTCTCTGAGGCCAGAACCGTGGTATGCGAAGGAGGTGCCGAACTTCTTTTTGAGCTCTTGAAATTGATTCTCCTTGTTGGAAGCGAGGAAGGAACAAACACCAAGGTCGGGCAAAATAAAAGAAACGGAACGGACAGAACAGAGAACAACAAAAAAGATCTAAAGAGAGAAACTTAATAAAAGCAGAATAAAAAACGTAAACACTTGGACAAATTGACTTGATACGCAAGGAAGAGTTCCCCAATGTTCCAGGAGAGCGTTAGTGGGTTCTCCTTCTCAGGAGGAGCAGATAGAAGCAAATACTGGAAGGGCGTCCTGGCGGAACAAGTCGGCTCGGTGTGAGCTCTACGAACATCCACAAGCAGGTGTGTGTGTGCCTATATAGCAAAGCACATGCCTTCACAAGCAGGCCAAGAAAGTGCCTTTCGTAGCGTCCTTGCTAGTAATTGGTAAAGGGACTCAACCGAAGAATTAATACTTGCCTACAATTAAACAAGTCATATTGTTCAGCACGAAAAGAACACTGAAAGCCCTTCACAGCCACGACTCCTGAACGCTGCGATGCGTTGGCTCTCCTTGTGCGCTGCCACGCCGTCTAGAGTCTACAGCATCCTGTTTCAATTTTTCAGGAACTCACTTCTTGGCATCAGGAACCATCTCTATGAGGTTAGAGGCCGCATTTAGGGTGTGGAACAAACACAAACGTTTCGTGTTCTTTCGGAAAAAATGGCTCTTCGCTCTCTCCTCCAAAGGAGCCAGGTAAGAGCGATTCGAAGAGACGGTCCACTTCAAGAGCGCCGCAGCTTCTGGAGACATTTGACTTGTACAAAGAGCCCAAGAGGCTCCCATGGTTCTTCCTAAGGTACTTCGCATGGTTTGAAGTTCTTGGATCAGTTGCTCCAATTTCCGGAAATCCTTCTGTTGTGGGTGGAGGACGGCTCCTGCTCCTGCTCCGCCCACCTGGACCAATGGGTAGGGATCCAAGATATCCGCGCGCCGCGCCGAGCAAGCGGCCGCGGCCAACATACACATCAGCAGGTCCAAGATCTCGGAGGGATGGTTCACCGTCTCCGCCGTGGTGATCTTACTGCCAAACTCACTGAATTGATAGGTGCAAAGCTCCTCGGAACAAACCGTCCTCATCATCATGGGCAGTTGTTGGAAGGCCTTGTCACAAATGGCACAGAATTCATGAACCGTGGGCACTCGAAGTTGCAAATAACGGGCCAAGCACACCAGGAATCCAGCAGTCTGATCTTCCAGCGCAGTCAGAACGAGCTGTTTCTTCTTGCTTTCATATCGACATCGGCTTGAGTCAACTGCGTTGGTGTCCGAAAGAAAGTCTAAAGCCAAAGCATCCTTGCTCCAAGCTCTCCAAGAGCCATCTCTGCATAACTGGCAAAAATCTCCGAGGATGTGCAGTAGCTGGGATTCTAGGGCAAACGACTCGAATCCTTCCTGCATAACTCTCTTTAATGCGGACTTGCCGACAGAATCAAAGGTGTAGCCAGTGGTGGGCAAACAAAGTTCGACGCAAATGGGTTTCCCCGCATCAATCCCCCAAGCGGAGCAGGCACTGTTGCTCAAATGCAGGTGCTGAAGCGGCACAAAGAGTCGCACACGCCAGAATTCGGTGCCCAACTGCGTGAGTGTGACCGCAGCTTCGCCCAAGAACTTCTTCGCGGCGAGCAGATCGTGCTGCAGGGAAGCCTCTGGAGGCATCTCCGTGACGATCCAGTCCATGCCGCTGGGAGAAGCTTCGTCCTCTTCCAACTCGGCGAGTTGCAAAATGACACTCGAAATGATATCTAAGATCTTTCCCGGTGAACGAAACTCAAAGTCGTCCGGTCCATAAACCTCTGTCTCTCCAGAGGGATATGGATCAGCTAAGCAGGCGGCAAAGGAACCAACGCCTTCTATCTCGAAGACCAATGTCTCATCGTTCAAACCGCTACTTTGCACTTGGGGAAGAGTGCCGCTCCTGCATGCCGCGTGCAATTCTTCCACGTCTTCCAGAATCTTCTGCTTACGAGAGCCGAACATCGAGACGAAGTCGAACAACCTTTGAGCCGGCGGTTGCTGCAAACGTCATCCATTTCTTCATGCAACACCTTGGTGATAACATCAAGATCATGAATCCAGGTCTTTCTCTTCATCTTCCGGCTTTGTCTTTCTCTCTCGCTCTCTCTCTCTCGTTCTCTCTCCTTCTCTCTCTGTCTTGCTCATTCTCTCCCCTCTCTTTCTGGCCTCGACAATCGCTTCACCTCGCTGGATGGACGAACATTAGAGGGCCCCCTTTCAATTTGCCGCTTTTCAGGTTTTCATGCTTGTTCCTAGTATGGCCACAAGCTACTAGTAGCGTCCGATCGCTCCTAGTATCCAGTTTGCATGAGCTTCCAACGCCCAATTGAGATGCGATCTCCTGACAACGCGTTTCACAACAGGAACGGAAAGCTGGTCTCGTATACGAAACGCCTCCTCTGCGCATCCTTGCTCATTGAAAGCGAATACGTCTGGATGGACTTCCACAGTGTATATAATACAATATACACCGCAACGATATTGTTTTTACCATGATTCCACATGTCGTGAGGCTACTCAAAGCGCTTCAGCGATTCCTAGCATGCCTGAGGGGTGGACAATGACTGGTGCTGATTTCTGACACTCAAATCCCCATTTGCAACTAGAACGCCTTTGGTTTGGACGCCAAAAACAAAAGGCGCTGCCTGAGAGTAAGGAGACCAGAGATTTATTGTAGATGCGTTTGATACCTTTTGGAATTCATTCATTCACTTTAACCAAAAGAAGTAGAGTGAACTTGTCAATTGTGTGGACTTCTAGTAACAAGACAAGCTCTTAGCTGAGCTTTGCCGCAAACCCTGCTGGGCTTCTACACACATGGCCAACCAACCTCACTCTTCCAGTGTGAAGCAGGCTCTTCAAGACTGCCGACTTCGAACCAGGTGACCGAAGCGGTGCCTCTAAATGACAAGGGATCTCATCGCCATAGGCCTCTTGTAGAGCTTCTTGCACCTGACGGACGGCGGACTCGGACTCGACGAAGCCGCGCAGCGAGCGAGTACTTCCCACTGCCGAAAGGACTGTGGCAGAACGAACTCCGTACCTCATAGCGGTCATGATCGGTCAACAGAAACATCAAATCTTTCACACATCGCTCTAGGTTGGAGGCCGCTAGTAGGGTGGAGGCCATTGCTAGTAGCTAGAAGCTACGAACGTAGCAAGGACGCTACTAGGTTGGAGGCCATCTGGTCAAAACTCCCCAATGACCCAGTGGGCCTGATCTGCAAAG